GCTAGGCAGACTGCACTATGCTTTCAGGGCTGCTGTCATTTCTGAAGGAAGTCCAGCAGTGCCATTCACTGGGCTCACCCGAAGGAGGGGCAGATGAGTAAAGGACAGATGCACTTCTACCCATCCCTGGGAGATCTCCAAAGCAAACAGCAAAGGTCCCCAGCGCAGGCGGGGTGGGGACTGTGTGTAGACTAGCGGCCAGCATACCTGAAGCTAGACCTGTTCAGCTGGCTTCTTAATCATCCTACGGGTCAGAAGCTTGGGCCCTTCTGGTTTCCTCATCCCATTTTGTCCTGTCCTGACCAAAAACGAGGAGTCATACTGGTGTACAGACAGCTTCTAGAAAATGATCTCCTAGATTCTATATGAGCTTCACTTCCTAGAGACACCTAATAAAAGGGAGGAAATTTTAACTGGGATAAGGAGTGACGGAAGTGAGAACAGGGTGGAAGGATTCCACTCCCACTTCTTGAAAAAGCTGATCCAGGAGGCAGGAGGGCCGAGGGAAGAGGCCAACCTCGACCTATGGCTGCACACAGTCCTCAGCACTGCAGATTTGCCTGGGCTGTAAATCATGCCCTAGGCTGACAGAAACTGGAATCTAGAACATTCTGGACTTTTAGTCAGTGTTCTACAAGGACAAGGTCATGTAGCTTAAATACACAAAACAGAAGACAAACTTTGAGATCAGTCTGTCTGAAAAGTCATTCTGTAATCCTGTCATGGCAGGAAGGACCACATGGATGCTCCTCTTAGCAGATGCTAGTGGACAGCAGCCTAAACTGGCAGCATCACAGGGGTGTCTGTCTCTGAAGTGGTCACCTGAGACTATCCCAGCACTTGGATGGCCTCCTCCTAAGGCCTTAAGTGGAGCAGACTGTAAGCACACTCACTGAAGCACAGGAAAGCACAATGCACACTGTGCTCACATGGGGTCTCCTCAGCTACATTTTGTTTCCTTCAGAGAGGCCTGGTATTGAGAGAGCAAGTGCAGATAATACAATGCCCTGCGTGCCCTCGTGTCCCGCACCCGCAGTGCACCATTCCAATGTAGCCAGCTGTCACTTTACAAGGACTTTAAAATTTGTTCTTCTCGAGCTAGGTGTGGTATGGTGAAACATGCCTGTAATCTCAGCACCAGGATAGCAGAGGCCAGAGGACTGTCACAAGTTCAAGGCCAACCTGCTCTGCTCTATATAGCAGGTTCTTAGCCAGCCAGGACTTCACAGAAAGACCTTGTCTGAAAAAAGTGAAAAATAAAAAATAAACAAACTGTTCCTCATAGCTGAGATCTAAACAGCTGCTAACCACCCTATTTATAGTAGCTGGGTAAGGCCAGAGGCTTGACCAATGGCATAGGGCCTGGCATAGCTATGCTTTAAAAAGTCCAAAGCGCCAACAGCAGACACGAGCGTCACCCTCAGAGACCTTGCCTACCAGCATAGTCTCAGGGGACAAGGGAGCCCAAGGCCTCTCCAGCTCCCCTGGCACATTACAGACCTGTCTGCTCCTTCGTGCTCCTGTAACATCCACCTTCCCACACCTTTTACCACTTTTCTGCCCCGACTTGCCGGTGCATCTGTAATATTCGTATGACCCACACATTCTCCCGCGGCCGTAGCTTTAGGATTGAGTCAAACCTGGGTTTGGCTCTTGGCTCTGCAGCTGCTGCAGCAAGTCCTAGATCTAGTCACGGTGCCTTGACTCGCAGCGGTGAGAGCACTGTGAGCGTGCTGGTAACTGTCCCTCCCCACCACATCTGTTAGGAACGCACTACTGAGGTAGCACTGTACTGAGGCAAGAGTTGCAGCCCAGGGCTCAAGCTTCCTTCCTGGAGCCACAGGGAGCTGCTATGCTGTACAGGGCAAAAACTAAAGGAAGAGGGCAGGACGCTCTACGTGGCAGGTCTGACGTGAGCCTCCGCCTGGGCTGCGGGAATCAGTGACAGAGCTCCTGCAAAGGAAAGGGCTGAGACTGCATCCAGCACACTTTCCCTGAGGTATCACTGAAGGGCAGCGGCACTGAGCTGGAAGGCTGGGTGAGGGAGGCAGGGTCTTCATGGATCTGACCTCTGACCCTCCTAATGGGGAAGAGGAAAAGAAAGAAAGCCAGTGTCAAGCCCCCAAAATAAAGGCCAGTATATCAACCGAACCCAGGAGAGAGTCAAAACACCTTTTCACCTACTTCTCCGTATCTGAAAATCCCTCTTTCAACAGGCAGCTGAGCTGAGGAAAGCCAGTGCTTTTCCAAGGGTGGTCTCTTCACTTGCTTTTATCCCCCACACAGACTTTCTCATTGTTCACATGCCCTTTTCCAACTGGACCACGGACAGTCCTTCTGCATGGCCAGTGATGCCTGTGAAGCCTGCTGATTCCACTCCCGGCATCACAGACCCCATGACTTACCTCTGCCGAGTCCGGAGGTGGCACCAGTCACCACCACTACAGCATTCCTCAGATAAGCTTTGGAGCGGATCCGCTGTAGCAGCCGGAAGAGGCTGAAAATCCCCAGGCAGCCAAACAGCAGGGGCAGGATGGTTGTCTGGGTGACCAAGTCCATGACCCCCTCCTTCAGCATACCCTTCCTGGAAGAACCAAACCAAATCACTAGGGACTAAGTAGGAGAACTGGGGATTAGCCAAAGCTCCTTCTCTAAGTTAGCAGATCCCATTCCTGACTCTCCATACAATGAACTAGGCCCAGGATGGGAGGGGACTGGTGCTCAACCCAGCTAAGTTGAGTACTTGGGGAAATTTTCTTCTCACTACAATCCCAGCTTCTTGTACCAGGCAAGCCTCAGCTCAGAACAACCCTGCCTTGTCCAAATGGCTGATCACTTCCCAGACAACAGGAAGGTGGGTGGGTAGGGCCCCTGCTCAGGGAAGGACATCAGATCTTAGCATCTGGGACGAGGACTGGAAACCACTCTGCATTCCCTCTCATGGGCCTCTAAAGACCACAGCCAACAGAGTCTCAGCTGCATTTTAAAGGTGGAACTGAGCCACAGCTGCACCCAAGCCACAAGGGCAAAGCATCAGGAGTGATTCAGAGGCTCCAGAAACTTACAGACCCTAAACGTAGTTCAGCACCAATGCAGAGCCTGAAGAATTATCTTCCATCTAGCCTGGTAGGTACAACTCCCACCCCTCACTTCCAACTGAGGCCTCTGAACTCTTCACTCAGGTCTGTTAACCGGAAGGATGAATTCTCTTTGTACATGATCTCAGTCCTCAGAAAGTCACTTCACAACAAACAAATTCTAAAAAAGACCTCAGGAATGCTGGGTTTTACCACATGGAAACAACTCACTAAATAAATAGGATTCAATGAAGTTTAATTTTTATACCTGCATAATTAAACTAACAAACATGACAAAATTTGTCACATACACAAAAAAAGTCTCATGTGTGTAACAGAAAATGTCTCAAGGCCAGTGTTGCAGCGAGCAGGTAGACAGGTACCAAGCTGGCCCATCCAGCAGGAAGCAGGAAAAGAGCAGAGCTTCTCAGCAAGAGCCCCGAGGAAACAGGAAAGCTCACAGTACTTTATCATGAAGCGTCATTAAGCTTGAGCCAACCACCTATGACATGAAAAGAGAAAAGGCCTGCACACTCCTGAGATTCCTTACAACATCTCAGGCCAGACTTGGGCAGGTTGACTAAGAATGCCCCCCATAGGCTCTTGGCTGAATAATTGGTGGAACCATTTGGAGTGAATTAGGAGATATGGCCTTATTGGGGGAGGTGTGTCAGTGAGGGCCTACTTAAGGATCACGAGGTGAGATCTCAGCTGTCCTGCTGCTAAGTTCTAGCCCTTTGGAACCTCGAGCCCAATTAAATGGTTTCTTTTGAAAGTTGCTTTGGTCACGGTGCTTTGTCCCAGTTCAGTTACTAATACTGAAGCTGGTAGGAGGGAGTGGGCTACTGCCATGAACTCCCTCACCGTGCTGTGTTTTGGAGATATGTGGAAAACTTTGGGATGTCAGACTAGGAAAGCAGTTGAACACTGTAAGCAGAGCTTAGTGCGCCATCCTAGTCAAAGCTTTGGAAGACAGTAGCAGTGCTGGGAGCTACTGCCCAGCTCAAGCATCTTCAGAAGGGAACGACATTCACAGCTGGACTAAAGACCATTCTTGTGATATTTTGGCACATAATGTGGCTTTAGAATTTATCTAAGGTGGTTGAGTTCAAAGCCAGCCTGTTCTACAGAGTTCCGGGACAACCAGAGCTGCACAGAGAAACCCTGTCTTGAAAACAAAAAAAGCCGGGCGGTGGTGGCGCATGCCTTTAATCCCAGCACTTAGGAGGCAGAGGCAGGCGGATTTCTGAGTTCGAGGCCAGCCTGGTCTACAGAGTGAGTTCCAGGACAGGCAGGACTATACAGAGAAACCCTGTCTCAAAAAACAAAAAACAAAAAACAAAAAAAAAAAGGGAAGGAAGGAAGGAAGGAAAAGAACTTGCCTAAGGCTAAATTAAAAACTAATGGACAGCTTTCTTTGGTGGAGGAGATTTACAGGCAATCTAATATTGACTCTGTCCTGCAGTTCTTAGTAACTACCCTTATGCAGGTCTACAATAAAACAGAGCAAGAGCAGGAAATATAGAACGTACAGTGTGAAGAGAAAAAGGGCACCAGGGAATGGAATGTAGAAGTCAAGAGCTATGCTGAAAGGGATGAGGACATCTAGGAAGCCTGCTGTGGGTTACCGGAGGGGTGCCCTCAGATCAAGACCCCACCCACCTGAACTTCCATCTTGTGAAAAAAGGAGGCCTGGGGAATTTTCTGTTCCTAAAAAGTAACAAAGGAAGCAGTGGTAGTACACACCTTTAATTCCAGCACTCAGGAGGCAGAGAGGTAGGTGGATCTCTGAGTTCTGGGCCAATCTGGTCTATACAGTGAGGGTCAGGACAGCCAGGGCGGGCTACACAGAGAAACTCTGTCTCAAAAAGTCAAAAATCGGGGGGGGGGGGGGGTTTGTTGTGGGGGTTTGGGGTGGGGTGGGTGGGACAGACAGAGAGAGAGAATAAAGAAAGAAAAAAGGAAAGAAAGAGCAAAAGAAAGAAGGAAGGAAGGAAGGAAGGGAAGGAAGGAAGGAAGGAAGGAAGGAAAGAGAAAAAAAGAATGAATAAAAGAGCAGCAAAGGAAAAAAAGGAAAAGCTTCTTCAACTCCAGGGAGCCAGGCTCCACCCCAAGCAGTCAGCTAGTCATGGCAGTGTCTTCCATGTGGTTTTGGCTTGAGTCCTCGAGAATACACCAGCAAAGGGGCAGGGCTATGGCACCTTCTTGAAATAAAGGACATGCTGAAGCCAGGCATGTGGCAGAAGAGTCCCTACAGGCCACTATGTGAAGCTGTGAGGGTGAAGCCTACTACACTGGAGATCCTAAGATGTTAGAGATGCCAGCATCATGAGCCATCTGTGAAGGACAGCTGCACCCTGGGAGTGGGATTAGCCCAAGGGAGAGAGAAGCATACTGCAAGCAGCAAAGCCAGAAGTGTGGAGGCATCCAAGCCCTTGGTCATCAGACACAGAGCTACCGGATTTGGAGTTTGCCCTGCTGGGTTTCCATCTTGCTTTGGCCTAGTATTTCCTCACTGTGTCCCATTCCTCTTTTTTGGAATAGTGACACATAGTTAGAGATACGTAACTTGCTTTTTTTAAAAAATTTTATTTTATAGGGGGTTACAATGAAGAGATTAATCAACCTCTTACCTTGAGTCTCAGAAGAGACTTTGGACTTTTAAACTACTGAGGCATTGAGCCCAACCTTTGAAGTTGGATTAAATGCATTTTGTATTAAGATATGGCTACAGGGGCTGGAGAGATGGCTCAGCAGTTGGGAGCACTGACTGCTCTTCCAGAGGTCCTGAGTTCAATTCCCAGCAACCACATGGTGGCTCACAACCATCTGTAATGGGATCTGATGCCCTCTTCTGGTGTGTCTGAAGACAGCTACAGTGTACTCATATAAATAAAATAAATAAATCTTTAAAAAAAAAAAAAAAAAAAGATATGGCTACAGACCTACAGGGCCAGGGAATAGAACGTGGAGGCTTGAATGAGAATGGCCCCCATAGATTCATGTTTGGGAACTGTTTGGGCAAAATTAGCCATGGCCTTGTTGAGAAGGTGTGTCACTGGGGCAGGCTTTTGTGTTGTTCCCCATGTGTGTTTGTTCTGTTTCCTACTGCAGATGGAGATGCAAGCACTCGGCTGTTCCTGCTGCCATGCCTTTGCTCTGCCATTGTGGGCTCTGTTCTCTGGAACTGTAAGCCCAATTAAAATGCTTTCCTTTATAAGTTGCCTTGGTCATGATGTTTTGTCACAGCACTAGAGATGGAACTATGATACAGTCCACCTAGAACAAACATTGTGCAGGACTATGAGGACCCATCCTCAGTCCATGCCACAGTCTGTGAGGAGTATCCACTGCTGCACTCATTTGGTCTGTCAAGGATGTCAGAGGCAGACACACAATAAATTAAACATCAGGGCCAACTCTCCACACTAACTCAGTATAACCATCATGGGAAAAAAACATTCACAGAGTAAGCCATTTTACTGATGAACTGGGCTCAATTATGACATAATCTTCCTAAATAGGTGAAAATGTTCATACAGTCTGTGCTGGATAGTTTTAAGGAAGGAACTTCAACTGACAAAATGTCTCCATTGGATCCAGTTGTAAGGCATTTTCTTAATTAGTGATTTATGGGGGAAGAGTCCAGTGCATTGTGGGTGATGCCAACCCTGGGCAAGTGTTCCTGGGTTCTATAAGAAAGCAGGCTGAGCAAGCCAGGGGAAACGAGCTAGTAAGGAGAGCCCCTCCATGCCCTCTGCATCAGCTCCTGCCTCCAGGTTCCTGCCCTGACTTCCTTCAATGATGGACTATCATGTGGACGTGTAACCCAAGTAAACCCTTTCCTCCCCAAGTTGCTTTTGGTCATGGTATTTCATCACAGTGATAATAACCCTAACTAAGACACGTTCATTTTTCCAATACTCAAATACCAATTCTACGCTGCAGTACATATAAGCACACCTATGGACCCCCAGGCTGCTTAGACCTTCCAGGCTTCTCTGGAAGAGCTGGATGACTAGGCCAAGAAAGATACATATGGGTAATCCTACTGAAAAGTTGAAGAGAATTTTATGTCAGACAGTCATATTTCCAGATTAGGAAATAAATCTTCTATATAAAGCAAGGTCGAAGATAAGTCTGTTTTCTTTCAAAATGACATATAAGAAGGCTTTAATTCATTTATAAACTATGAATTTTTCATCCAAATGCTTATTAGTTTCTAGTTCAGGGTGTGGTCAAATCATGGACCAAGAAGGCAAGAGTGACAGTATACAAAGGAGTCAGATCCCAGCACTCAGGAGGCAGAGGCAGTGGGATCTCTGTGAGTCTGAGTCCAGCCTGGTCTACATAGTGAGAGCCTGTCTCAAAAACAAAAACAAAACAAAAAACACCCAACCCAACCCAACAACAGTATAGGGATGAGGGACTTTCTTTGCTCGCTCACATTTTCTAGATATCAACTGGTAGGAAAGGGGCTAGACTCTTCCCAGGGCTATCTGACAATAGAAGGAAGCAGGACAGGAAACAGGGAGAGACACAAGAAGGCTCCCTGGACAGGAAGTGCAGAGCACAGATCCTCCAGAGTGAGGATGTGTCACTTACCTGCCAGTGAGGGACCTAGCCTGACCTTGCACTAATGAGCTGTATAAATTGGCAGAAGGAAATGAAAGAACCAAGGTGCTCACAGGCTAAGGCTACCTGCTTATATATTCACTATGAGATTAGTAAATTCAGACCGACAAAAAGCGCACCTGGGCAAGCCCTTAAAGTGTTCCTCAGGCCAGGCAGCCAGAGTGGTGAGCCTTCATGTTCAGCTGCTCTCTTTCTCTCCCACTAAGAGCTGCTGTGGCAACAGCTTCAAGAATACTAACTCAGACATAAAACTATGTCACCCGTAATGATATTACTCTTTTCAATTACTTTGGCCAAAGTTCATCATTGTAAGTCAGAGATGGAATCTGTTCCAAGCCTCCTTTATTCTCTAAAGCAACGTTTTAAAATTCAAATCATCGGTAAGAACAGGCAGTTGTAATCTCATCAGAAACTATGCACAGAAAACAAACATCTAAATCTGAAAATCACAAGACAGGTCCTAAGAACTCTCCAGGGCATAGGGAGGAATTGGTCCAAGTCTGCAAAAAGGAAATCATGCAATACTGAGACACAAGACAAGCAAACGGGGCCAAAGGGCAGACAGGGCTCCAATGCAAGACTAAAATTGATCTGAAGAAATCTGAAAATTCCTATCTATCTTCCAAAAGTCTGAGCAGGGCCAGTTATAACGATGCACAGTTATAATGCTAGCACTCAGGACAAAAGCGGAAGGAATGGCCAGTAAGTACCAGACCAGAAAGTCAGAGAGGAGGAAGTGGGGGTAGAGGACACCAAGACCACCGGCCCATTCTTCAACCCCAACTCTGGTTAAAAATCAGCAACTAGAGAGCCCACCTGCTCTGCACCATCTGAAGTAAGAGAACCACCTGCTCTTCGGTCCCAGCTCCTAGCCACCTTTGCTGCTGAGTACTCGGAACTCGGAGACTTTGGCCTCAACCCCGAGTCACCTACTAGATCAGGGAGTCAGCGGTATGTGGCCTCACAACAAGTCTCCTCCCAGCTTTGTTTATAAAACACAGCCCGGTCTGAATAACCAACCAGCACAACACTCACAGCTGCTGTTGGTCTCTCTCCCTACAACTCTTATCTTTCTTTTCTCTCCGAAGCCTAGCATCCTGGTTGCCTGCCCTCCAATCTCCAGTCAAAAGGCTGCTGTTATTTGTACAACTATCTTTAACCCTCTCTTTTTAGTCTCCCTTTCACAAAACTCCTACAGCTCAGCCCTGCCTCTTTTCTGTCTACCACTCCTCCTGCATATACCCCTGCCTCTCCATGGCAGCCTGTTACTGATCACGAATCTCCCTGTGACGATAACCAGTACACTCGTACACACAGTACTGCTGGTGTCTCTTTACTCTCTAAAGCATTCAATGCTTAAGGAAGGAATGACTCATGTATTAGCAACTGGCGCTCCATTTTCATGGTGTGCTTACTGTGGACTACCAGTCTGAGGATAGAGCCTGGTGCCCTGCACAAGTATAAAAGAAAAGCATCACCTCACCCTACAACAGTCTGTCCTAAACACTAAAGTAGAATGGCAAGCTGAAATAAAAACTGCACATGAGGGGTGGAATCTGCCCTAGAGAAAGTGTATCCAATGCAACAAAGCCAGAAGGACAAAGCCATCTGTGGCTGTTTGAATGAAAATGGCCCCCATAGGCTCACAGATTTGAATAGCTGGTCACCACTCCTATTTGAAAGGATTAGGAAGTGTTACCTCGTTGGAGGAAGTGTGTTACTGAGGGTGGACTTTGAGGTTTTAAAAAGTCTATTCCAAGCCCAGAGTCTCTCTTCCTGCCCCTGCAGATCCAGATGTAGAACTCTGAACCACTTCTCCACTATATCTGTCTGTATGCCACCATGCTTCCTGCCATGATGATAACAGTCTGAAACTGTAAGCAAACCCCGATTAAGTGCTTTCTTTCATAGTCATGGTGTCTCTTCACAGCAATGGAAGAGAATAACTCAGAAGGAAGAAGCAGGTTATTTCTGTGATGGGCCTGACCATGCTGCTTCTTGGTGGAACGTGGAGTCTGAGTTCGGAAAGCAGATGAAAACTTTTATTAAGTGGTCTCATGAGCCATGCAAGTAGTAGAAGCATGGAAGACAACGGTGCTGAGCGCGATGCAGGTTTCAGGAGAGACTATTATTAAGTGGCCTGAACACCTGTTCTTGTGATACTCTGATGTCAAATGATGTAGCATCTCTGCCCTTGTCCAAAAAGTCTGGCTGAAGCAGAACTGAAGAGATTTTGATTAATAGCACTGGCAGAGGAGATTTTGAGGCAATCTAGTACTGACTGTCACCTGCTGGTCATTAGCGGTCACTCTTAGGCAGAGCTGTAATGAAAAGGAGCAAGCTGAGCAAAGAAAAATAAAAAATGTACACTTTCTGAGGAGAAAAGGAGCACCAGGAAACATAATGGAGATAAAAAATTTAAAGAAAAGCCTGATGCTAAGAGAGGGGTGACACCAGGGCAAGATCCCACCCAGCTAACCTCCTAATTTATAAAAAGGAATTCAGTAATTTTTATTTTACGTATATGAGCACACTGTAGCTGTCTTTAGACTCACCAGAAGAGGGCATCAGATCCCATTATTAATAGCTATGAGCTACCATGTGGTTACTGGGAACTGAACTCAGGACCTCTGGAAGAGCAGTCGGTCCTCCTAACCACTGAGCCATCTCTCCAGCCCCATGAAAAGGAATTAAAGAAAAGCTTGAGCAGTGACAGATACCATCAAAACCAAAAAGCTGGTGAAAATGTATTTGAACAAAGAGGCCAAGTTCCAGTCCCAGAAATTAGCAGTACTGGCCACATGGTTCTTCTGGCTTTAGAGTCAAGAATACAAGAAAGGGATCATGGAATCTCCCTCTAAGCCTAAGGAAAGATGCTGAGGCCAGGCATGTGTCAGAAGTGTACCTGCATGGAGGCCCAGAGAAGCTATTGCGTGAAGCTCTGAAGCTGAAGCCTGGACTGCACTGAAGATCCCAGGATGCTGGAGATGCTTAGGTCACTGTTTACCTGACAAGGGGAGCTGCTAACAGGGAGTGGGCTCAGCCCAAGAGAAAGAAGTACACTGCAGTCAACAAAGCTGAAAGGAGCTGGAGATCTGAAGAGCACTTTGATACCAAACCTGGGAGATTCAGGATTTAAAGTTTTTAGTCTTGCTCTCATCCAGTACATCCTCACTATTCTGTTTTCTCCCTTTTGGAATAGTAGTATATCCTTTGCCCTTGTATGTTGGAAGTATGTGATCTGCTTTTATATTTTGATTTTACAGAGGTTACAGTTAAGAGATTGCCTTTAGTCTCAAGAGACTTTGGACTTTAAGATTTATTTACTTATTTATTTTATATATATAAGTACACTGTTGCTGTCCTCAGACACACCAGAAGAGGGCTTTGGATCCCATTACAGATGGATGTGAGCCACCATGTGGTTGCTGGAAGAGCAGTCAATACTCTTAACCACTGAGCCATCTCTCTAGCCCTGAAGCTTTGGTCTTAAACAGTACTGAGACTGTGATAGACTGTGGGAACTTCTGAAGTTGTATTAAATACATTTTGTATTATGATGTATGGCTATAGGCTTATTGGGGCCAAGGAGTAGAACATGGTGGTTTGAAATGTCTGTCACAGCTTTGCGCAGTGGCAGTATCGTAGCCAATGAGGTTTATCCGAGGCACGATTATTGCTAATTGAAATGTCTGTCACAGGTTCACAGATCTGAATACTTGGTCACCACAGAGTGGTACTATTTGAAAGGATTAGGAAGTGTGGCCTTGTTAGAGGAAGTATGTCACTGAGGGCAACTCTGAGATTTCAAATAGCCCATTCTTAGCCCAGAGTCTCTCTTGCTGCTACCTGGGGATCCAGATGTGGAACTCTCAACTACTTCTCTAGCACCATGTCTGCCTGCACACCACCATACTACTCCCTGCCATGTTGACAATGAACTAAACCTCTAAAACAGTAAGCAAGCCCAAGTTAAATACTTCCTTTTCTAAGAGTTGCTGTAGTCATGGTGTCTCTTCATGAAAATAGAACACTGACTAAAACATTATCTGAGCACTTTGATATCAGACATAGAACTATAGGATTTGTAGTCTGCCCGGCTAGGTTTCCATCTTGCTTTGACCCAGGCTTTCCTCACTGTGCCCCATTCCTCTCTTTTGGAATGGTAACATTTTCTGTGACATTGTAAGTCTGATGTATGTAATTTGCTTTTTGATTTTATAGGGGTTATGATTAAGAGATTGCCTTGAGCCTCAGAAGAAAATTTGGAAATTGGTTCTTTTGTTTTGTTTTTTGTTTTTCGAGACAGGGTTTTTCTGTGTAGCTCTGGCTGTCCTGGAACTCACTCTGTAGACCAGGCTGGCCTCGAACTCAGAAATCCGCCTGCCTCTGCCTATTAAGTGCTGGGATTAAAGGCATGCACTACTGATGTCAGCACCCAGTTTTCTGTTTCGTTTTGTTTTGTTTTTTTAAAATGTGCCCTAGGCGTGAAACAGCTTTGGCCACCAAGCCAAGCATCAAGCTAGGATGAAAGGACTGCCATCTGCTCTGCACCTGACTGACATAAGAACACCAACAACAAGGTGTCTCTCTGCCCATTGCCAAGAGTTGAGACTCTGAACTTTTTTTTTTTTTTTTTTTTTTGGTTTTTCGAGACAGGGTTTCTCTGTGTAGCCCTGGCTGTCCTGGAACTCACTCTGTAGACCAGGCTGGCCTCGAACTCAGAAATCCGCCTGCCTCTGCCTCCCAAGTGCTGGCATTAAAGGCGTGCGCCACCACTGCCCGGTGAGACTCTGGACTTTTAAACAGTATTGAGACAGTGAAAGACTATGAGGGCTTTTGCAGTTGCATTAAATGCATCTTGTATTATGATATGGCTCCAAGCCTATGGGGCCAGGGAGCAGAATGTTATGGGTTGAATGAGAATGGCCTGTACTGGTTCGTTCATTTGAACACTTGGCCCCCAGTTGGTGGAACTGTTGGGAAAGGATTGGGAGGAGTGGGCTTCCTGGAGGAGATGTGTCACTGGAGGTGGGCTTTGAGGTTTCAAAGTTGAAGCTATTCCCAGTTAGCTCTCTGCTTCTTGTGTGGATCAGGATATAAGCTCTCAGATACTACTCCAGAGACAGCCTGCCTTCCTGCTGCCATGTTCCCCACCACCTTCATGGTGCCATTGACACACCCTCTGAAACTGCAGGCCCCCAATAAACTCTCTTAGCAATAGAAAAGTAACTAAGACACCACACTAACATATCAACTATCATAAATGAAGGATTAACAACAACGTTCCATGACAAAAGCTAAAGGGACTAAAGACCACCAAGCCAGTCCTACAGACGATATTGGATGAGAAAAACAATTACATCCAAGAGGCTACAGAGAAAAATTAACAAGGCTAAGACAGTTGTTAAACAGAAGAAGACTAAGAAAACATCAAAAGCAAACAATAAACAGCAAAATGACAGGATGCAAAGATAACACCTTTCAAGAATAACAGAATGTTAACTGTCAGTTCTCATATAAAGATGCAAACCCACATATTGGATTAGAAAACAGAATCCAGGGCTGGAGAGATGGCTCAGTAGTTAAGAGCACTGACTGTTCTTACAGAGGGCCTGAGTTCAATTCCCAGCAACTACATGGGCTCACAACCATCTGTAATGGGATCCGATGCCCTCTTCTGCTGTGTCTGAAGAGAGCAACAGTGTAATGTTAGAGAGAGAGAGAGAGAGAGAGAGACAGAGAGAGAGAGACAGAGAGAGAGAGACAGAGAGACACAGAGAGAGAGACAGAGAGAGAGACAGAGAGAGAGACAGAATCCTTCCTTTTGTTGCCCCTAAGAAACAAACTTCATATCAAGAACAGACAGTATCCTAGAGTGAAAGATAGAACTCTAGTTACTTTCCTGTTGCTATAATAAACACCATGACCCTATGAAACTTAGGGAAAGAAAGGGCTTTTCAGGTTACACTTACAGATAATAGTCTGAAGGACGTCAGAGCAGGAACTGAAAGTAGGAACCTAGAACAGATACCAGGCAGGAAGGCTGCTTACTGGATCCCTCTGAGTCTCTCGTATACAACCTAGACCTACCTAGTGACACCCACAGAAATGGTCCCACTTCCACATCAATTAGCAGTCATGACAATTCCCTACAGACTGGCCCACAGGCCAATCTGACCAAAGCAATTCTTCAATTGAGATGCTCCCCCTAGTTGACAGGGGATGTCAAGTTGACACCTCAAGCTATAACTAGAACAGATGGGGAAGATCTTCTTCCAAAGAAATGCAACCAAAACCAAGCAGGTGCCGCTATTCTGATAATCTGATAAATAGACTACGAATCATATCCAGTCAGAAAAGGTAAAAACAGTTACTTCATACTGCTCAAGGCAGCAATATATCAAGAGAAAATTATAGTTCTAAATATATAAACCAACTGATTAATCCCAATACACTAACAGTCAGTGACTTTAAAATCTCCACTCTCATCATTAGACAGAGTAACCCAACAAAACACAAACAGTGAAACAAGGGGCTGGTGAGATGGCTCAGTGGTTAAGAATATTGACTGCTCTTCCAGAGGTCCTGAGTTCAAATTCCAGCAACCACATGGTGGCTCACAACCATCTGTAATGGGATCCGATGCCCTCTTCTGGTGTGTCTGAAGACAGCTACAGTGTACTCATACATAAAATAAATAAATCTTAAAAAAAAAACAAATAAACAGTGAAACAATATAATTAAATGGCACCATAAATCAAATGAACCTAACAGACACCCACAGGACATTTTACCCAATACACAATTTTTCTCAATAGTTCATGGACCTTTCTCTAAAATATATCACTTATTCGGACACAAAGCAGTCCACAACAAATACCAGAAAACTGAAAGAATTCCTTCTATTCTTCTTGACTACACTGGGATAATCAGGGGCTGAGAGATGGCTCAGCAGTTAAGAGCATTTACTGCTCTTGCAGAAGACCCAGGTTCAGTTCTCAGCACCCACCTGATGCTCACAACTCTAGTTCCAAGGGATCTTATATTCTCTTCTGACTCCCACAGGCTCCTGAATGCATGTGGAGCACATAAAATAAATATTTTTAACCAGTAGCAAGAGAAATTACAGAAAACAGACAAACTTGTGGAGATTAAACAACACACTATTCTTGGGAAGCAGAGGCAGGCAGAACTCTGTGAGTTTCAGGCTTGCCTGGTTTCATGGAGTTCCAAGCTAGCAGGGCTACACAGGGAGACCTTACCTACAAAAATAAATTAAAATGAAAAACCACTCTGGAAAGATGAGTCACTGAAAAAAGCTAGACGGAAATCAGAATATTCTTACACTTGAACAAAAATAAAGACGTACCCTCTTCTGGTCTTTATGAGCACCTGCACACACACACATACACACACACACACACACACACACACACACACACGCACACACACGCACACAGAGTAAGTATACATACACACACATACACGCACAACATACACAGTAAACACACACATACTTATATATACATACAGCAAGCACACACACACAAATTAAAAAAAAATTAAATCATGGAGATCTCAACCTAATGATGCAGCTTAAGTCATTTAAAAAACTAGAACAAAACACAAATGAATAGACAGAAAGAAATAATGTTGACAGAAGTTAATGAAAAAAAAAAACAGAAAAACACAAGATGGAACACAAGATGGATGGAGATTTGAAAAGATAAACAAGACTGACAAATTCTTAACCAAATTAGCCCCCACAAAAAAACAGCAAAAAGGCCCCAAATTAGTAAAATTAGAAATGAAAATATTATAACAGATACCAAAGAAATACAGAAAAATCATGAACATATACCTTAATTTTTTTTTTATTTCACTGAACTGGAAAGTATCAATGAAACAGATAAATTTCTAGATGCATAAAACCTACCAAAATTAAACCAAGATGAAATAATTTTAAAAGGCCTGTAACAAGCAACGAGACCTAAAGCAGTAATTATAAATCTGTTAACTAAAACAGCACAAAACCAAAGGGATTCAGCACAGAATTCTAGCAGAGGTTCAAAGGACTAACATCAATACTTCTCAAATCATTCCACAAAATAGAAAAGAAACACTTCTACTCTTTAACAAAGCCTTATTATCACATGACCAAACAGAACTATAGACCAATCTTTCTGATAGACATGAACACAAAAAAATAATAAAATCTTGCAAATTTAATAAGGCAAAGGTACCCACTTTCCCCAGTCCTGTTCAGTAGAGGGCTTGAAGTCTTACCTAGGGTGATAAGGAAATAAAAGGGCCACAAGCAGCAGAGGATGAGGGCAAAGTGTCCCTGTTTACAGATGGCAAGATTCTACACACAAGAGCCCCCAAAGACTATCAGCCGACTCTGAGAGCCAAAAGCACTTTCAACAAAGCTGCAAGTCACAGAACCAACATACAAAAGTCAGTGATCTTCCAATATATCATTGGTAAACATACCGACAGGGAAATAATCCCATTTACACTGGACACACACACACACACACACACACAGAGAGAGAGAGAGAGAGAGAGAGAGAGAGAGAGACAGAGAGAGAGAGAGAGAGACAGAGAGAGAGACAAAGAGACAGAGACAGAGAGAGAGAGACCGACCAACCAATCAACCAATCTTACCCAAGGAAGAAAAAGAACTCTACAATGAGGACTTTAAAACACTGAAGAAAAGGTGAAGGTATTGGAAGAACAGGGCTAGAGCGGCTGGAGCACCTGGAGTAGATGGAGCAGCTGGAGAAGTTGGAGCAGTGATTCACTGGGTAAGAAGAGTACTTACTACTCTTGCAGAGGATCCAGGCTGGGTTCCCAAAACCCAGATGGTGGTTCACAACCACCTGTAACTCTAGTTCCAGGGGATTTGGTGCCCTCTTCTGACCTCCATGGACACCAACACACGTGTCTACATGCAGACAAAACATTTGTATACATAAAATACAAACAAATAAGTATAAAAAGAAAAAAGTAAAGTAAAGAATAGACTCTGAAGAATCTTGGTTTAAAAAAAAAAGGAAAGAAGATAAAAAAGAATACTGGTGGAGATATACCAGCACCCGATTTCAAGTTACACCACAGAGCTGTAGTAACATAAACAACATGGTATGGTCACAAAAATAAGTACACAAATCACTGGAATAAAATAGAGGGCCTGTATGTAAGTCTATGCAACTATTGCCACCTGAATTTTAACAAAGCAAAAACCATATTGGCTAAAAGAAAGCATCTTCAATAACTGGTGCTGGGAAAATGGGATATCTGCATTTAGACAAATGAGCCCCATCTTTGTCTCTTACCTTGCACAAGAATCAACGCCAAACGACCAAAAACTTCAATCGGAAGTTGAGTCTACACTTATTTATTTATTTATTTATTTATTTATTTATTTATTTATTGGTTTTTCCGAGACAAGGTTTCTCTGTGTAACCCTGGCTGTCCTGGAACCCACTCTGTAGACCAGAATGGCCTCGAACTCAGAAATCCACCTGCCTCTGCCTCCCAAGTGCTGGCATTAAAGGCGTGCGCCACCACCGCCCAGCAAGTCTACACTTACATATACAGACAT